AAGGGAGAAATTAGAGGTTTACATTTGGCTCAGCCGGTCATTTATCGGCGGTTTGAATCTCTCATATCTACGTGTTTCATCTAAGTACTGGAAGCCTTCCAGTACTTCCAAGCCTCCCCCCCCCCCCCTCACAACATCGACGCACTATTCGAGAAGCGAGAACGCTATAGGCTCGACTCCACCGGCGGGAAGTCGTGCCGCAACCAATGGGAACACGGCCTGGATTTGGCGGGACAGGCCTATGGCTTTCATTGGCCGAGATGGGATATGACGTCACGGCATTCGTATGGAGGACGAGAGCCCCCATGCAGCCGCCGCGAGGACCAGTCGCGTCACAGATCCCATGGGGAACCACGCTTCTCTCTAAGAGCTCAGCGAAAAGCTTCAATTTCATGACTCGGTAGAACATTGACTGTAGCAAATTGCGCCGTGGCTCTGATGATCTGATCTCGGGGATTGATTAGCCCTGCGTATTGCAATTAACCCCCATGATTTATCACCCGATAGGTGGAGGGTGGACCCTTAACCACTTCTGGGTGAACAGTATTTGGGTCCCTTCGCTATCCTACAGTCGCCCTGGCAGCTGGAGACGTCATTCAGGATCAGCTTACCTGGTTGATGGGGTTCTGGGAGTTCTTCTACTCCCCAAGCCCGGCCCGAGGCCAGGCTTGACTTGTGAGAGTTTGGTCCACCAGGCTGTTGCTTGGAGCGGCCCGCAGGCCCACATATCCACCACAGCCCACCATTCAGCTGTTCATGAAGCTTGTAAAGTGTGATTGTATGTAAGTGCTAAACAATTCCCGGGTTATTGTATTGTGCACAATCATTTTGGTGGTACAGTAAACCACTCAATCTGGGATTAATCAGTGTGTACTTGCCACGAGACCTCTGTTTCACAGTCCAAAGGGATTGTGGGGGAGTTAATGTGTCAGTAATGACAGCTCTTAACCCTCCTTGACCTGTCACTAGTGAGTGACAGGTGACGTGTTGTTTGTGTGTGTACAAGTGAATTATGACACATTGAGAATTAGGCTGTTAACATCTAAATGCAGTTATTGAATTGATTGATCATTAATATCCGTGTGACACTTTCTGTTTCATTCAGAGGATCAGTAAGAGTAAGTCATTGATTATTGATTGTTGCTCTTTGGATTATTTCTGAGGTGTGTCTTGTGTTGTGGTCTAGAGTGATATCCTCGTTAGTGGCTTGTTTGGTGACACGAGGTAATTAATCCTTCAGATTAATTAATCCTTCAGATTAATTAATCCTTCAGATTTATTACTTAAAGCTCTTTAACGTATTTAGTGAGGTTAGTAATGTAATTATTAAAGTCGTTATTGTCATTGATTACTAGCTGTCAGTTTGACAGTGTATTGAGATGTTAATTGATTGTTTCATGTGTTGTGATAAACAATAATTTAAGGTATTGAAGTGATTGTTAATTGTCAGTGAGAGTATATTGGGGTAACTCTGACCGCTGTGGGGCACGGTGTCATTTGCGTAAGTTAATTGGGTAATTAATTTTTAATTAACTTTGATTGCCGTCCTGGTGACATTGACTAAAGTAACGTAGTTACTTGTGGGTGTGTTACTGTGGTGATGGTCCTTGTAACATTGTTGTGTTACATGTCACGTGGTTATGTCATATTTTCCTGTTGGATTTGACAAGAGAGTGGACGAAGTGCTTCAGGGATCGTTAACCTTTGTTGATGACCTGTCAAGTGGGTGGAGGCGGCCTTGTGTCTCTATACACCTGTCAAGTGGTGGGTCAAGGTGACCTTCTGCAACAGTTTGACCCATTTAAAGTGACACTTGTCAGGGTTCACCCCCCTTCCTACCTATGGTTAGGGTCGTCCCACGGGTCTAACCCACCCTCAGTACCAGGCGCCACTGCCCGCCCTAGGGCACCCCTAGGTAACTAAGGGCTGGCCTTATATATACCCCTAGCGAGTGGAGAGGTTCAAGTCTACCTGTGACACACCTGAACCTGCCCGTCCTGACACGGGGACGCTCTCTCTCAGATATCTGTTGGTCGCCAGCTGTGTGCCAATACTCGTGTCCCAGCAATACTTCAGTGGTCCCATTAGTTATCTTAATTTAAGGATGCAATCTCATGTGCGGTGCAAGATGACACGAACAGTTTCACTCAGGATAGCCCTATAGAATGGAGGCTCACTCAAACACATAGGTAAGATTAAATATTTACTGAAGAAAAATATATATTCTTGTATAGGGAAATAATCAGGTGGAAATTTCCGATGGCGGCAACCTTCTCTCGTCGTGTCTCTGGCAACACGGTCAGCTGACTGGGTCCACTCGTCAGGCGGCGGGCACACCTCGCGCCTCTGGCAACACGGTCAGCTGGCGGCTGCAATTGTCAGACCGGCGGGGACACACCTTGTGCCTCTGGCAACACTATCAGCTGACTGGGTCCAACTGTCAGACCGGCAGGGACACACCTTGTGCCTCTGGCAACACTATCAGCTGACTGGGTCCAACTATCAGACTGGCTGGGACACACCTTGTGCCTCTGGCAACACTATCAGCTGACTGGGTCCAACTGTCAGACTGGCTGGGACACACCTTGTGCCTCTGGCAACACTATCAGCTGACTGGGTCCAACTATCAGACTGGCTGGGACACACCTTGTGCCTCTGGCAACACTATCAGCTGACTGGGTCCAACTATCAGACTGGCTGGGACACACCTCACGCCTCTGGCAACACCATCAGCGGGACGATTCAAAATTCGTTTCTGGCTCCTTGAGAACCAACATTATTCCGAGATACACGAACGTCACCCACCGCATCTACATACTTATGTTCCACCACCAATTTACGCCTACATGAGTTCCTTGGCTAATAGTCTAACACTATCACATAGACAATAAATGGTAGAGAAGTGCTCACGATATATAAAATATCCTAGCTCACCTAGATCAAAGGGGTAAAGGTATAACTATCTACCTTACTTCATTCCTTTACGAAGCTGACTCATCCTCTGGCGAGGGATGATGAGGTTCCTGGGGCCAGATTCAAGAAAGCACTTACGCAAACACCTACGAACCTGTACATATTTTCTCAATCTTTGGCGGCTTTGTTTACAGTTATTAAACAGTTAATGAGCTCCGAAGCACCAGGAGGCTATTTAGAACAATAACAACAGTTGAATGGGAAGTTTTCATGCTTGTAAACTGTTTAATAAATGTAACCAAAGTCGTCAAAGATTGATGAAAGATGTACACGTTCGTAAGTGTTTGCGTAAGTTCTTTCGTGAATCTGGCCCTTGGTCCTGGCTTCTGGTCTTCCGTTGATCAGTTCCCACACACACAAGTTCCTCAGTCGTCCTCGTAGTATCGCGTCCTCGCCGTACTCACACCCGGCAAGTACGATCCTCTTCCTCCTCTCACTCGGGGTACTGGAGTTAGGTACCTGCGCCGTCTTCCTACTCATCCTTTCACGAGCGCTGTAGACACACATGCAGTCCAGTGGAACTTTCCCTTGCCTCATTTCCAGTAGATTCGGCCCGGCCATCGCTACTCGCTTGATATGTAGAACGTGATTCGCCGGTCGTCCCAGACGTTTCCAGTCCCACGTCCGTTCCCAGTACAGACTCTTGAATATAGAGCTCTTGACTCTCTATCCCGGCCAATCCTTGCTTCCTGGCACTCCACGGGATGTCTGCAGTATTAAAGCGATGCTTAAATCCACTGGTAGGGACTTTCTGGCCTCAAGATCTGGAGCTCACTCGAGCGCATCCACACTCTAGGGCGGCTCGTGACGTACTCTGCAGCCCAGGCGTCAGCCGCCCCTGGGGTACTCCGCCTCGTGACGTCACACCGCCCGAGGGCTCTCGTCATTGGTTAGTTCCGGCACGTGACCTCACCTGGCCAATCAGATGCCGGGAGGAGTCACGACGTTTTAGAGGGAAACAGAATGGCTCGGCGCCATCTTGTGCCCCAAAAAGGGCGTAAGCCCCTTGCATAATCACACTTAAACGACAATTTCACAGCCATCCTGATAACGCTCCACACTCTCACACATATGAAAATGTTCCGTGGATATCAGAGAACGTTCAGGTTATGGAGACATGACTCTTTAAGCTGGGTTAGGAGAAACATAGGGGTGGGACACCGTCACACACTCTTGAGTTAACGTAAGGTTTGTGGCTGTGTATTAGAATAATAAGTTTGTTGAATAAATTGCTATTTTGTTTACACAGGTCTTTTATATCACTCCTCATTCTCCAATACTCCCCCGGCTCCTAATTCAATTTACTACTTAATCATTCTATGTGGCTTGAGCTGGTTCCAGCCAATAGTTCCAATCACTGAATATTATATTCGGTGCGAGAACCCGTCCTCTACCTATTATTATATTCGCTACAAGCCTGTTGCAGAGAGCACGACCCAGTGAGAGAAGGTCTTGTAGTGCACTGTGGTGGTGAACACCACTCTGGTGTTCATCTTTCTCCTGTGCTACGGGATCATCGGCGGTTGCTCCAGCCTGTTTCTCCTTACAGACTGTTCTTTCCACAACTGGCCTCCCTGCATGGAGCCTGAGGGGTGTAAGTCTGCAGTCAACCCGGAAGTAGAATCTCACATATCTGACTTAACAACCAGGGGCTAAGGCACTTAACAGTTTAAGTGCCTTAGCCCCTTAAGTGACAACCAGAGGCAGATTGAGTAAAGCATACTCTCACAATCCCTATAGGCCTATTCAGAAAATTATATATATATATATATATATATATATATATATATATATATATATATATATATATATATATATATATATATATATATATATATATATATATTATGTGTGTATATCACGAAAATAAAAATAAATTAGAAGAATACGACAGCTTGCTGAAATCAACACTGGAAAAAGCCCTCAATCTTTCCCTCAGCGACTCACAGTGGAAACAGGCCTCCCTTCCTGTCAGACTCGTGGGCCTTGGCGTGCGCACAGCAACACAAATTGCTGTACCAGCGTTCCTGTCCTCTTCAGTGGGGTCTGACAACTTTGTGAAGGAAATTCTACCTGAGCACCTAGTTCAACAGGCAGGGCTACATGGTCCCAGCTTCACAGACTGCACAACCAACTGGGCCTCTCTCGCAGGACCAGCACCCCAACCACCACCTTCTGAAGCCCATAAGCAATCCAGCTGGGATCGCCGCATTGCCGACCAAGAAGCTGCGACTTTGCTAGAAGCTGCGACAACACCACATGACACTGCCCGATATAGAGCTGTAGCAGCTCCCCATGCAGGTAATTTCCTATTAGCAACCCCAATGTCAGCAACCGGCACCAGTCTCACACCGCAGGCCCTCCGAATTGCCGTGGCTCTCCACCTCGCTGTCCCAATCCACACCGAATACAGGTGTATTTGCGGCGAGGCAGAGGCCGACAGGTACGGATGGCATGGCCTTCTCTGCCAAAGGACGGGAGGATGGCATGCAAAACACGGCGAGGTTAATGATATTATTAAGAGAAGCCTTACCACAGCCGGTTGTCCAGCAGAGAGAGAGCCCCGTTACCTAATGTCCCGCAACTCTGATGAGCCTGTCGGTCGCCCAGACGGAATCACGGAGAACCCCTGGAAGAATGGTAGACAGTTGGTGTGGGACTACACTTGCATTTCAACTTTAGCCAATACCTATGTTGACTTCAGTGCTACACAAGCAGGGGGAGCTGCCAATCACCGGGAAGCGGCCAAGTCACGTAAATACAGAGACCTTGAGCACCACTACAATTTTGTCCCCATTGCCTTAGAGACACTTGGTGCCTGGGGTAAAAGTGCTGCTAGCTTTTTGAAGGAGTTGGGGTCTAAGCTAATCGAAACAACTAGAGACCCTAGAGCTGCCAGTTTTCTTTTTCAGCGCCTTAGTGTGACAATCCAGAGAGGCAATGCTCACTGCATCCATGGTTCCTGCCCGCCATCCGAGGAGCTGGAGGAGCTGTTCAACTTGTGACAAGCAGCCTTGCACCCTGCATGTAATCAATATTGTAACTTTTTGTGTAATGACTTTTCAAATAAAGTTAGATAAATATACACACATACCAAAAGAATATGGGTGGCAGGAGAAGAAAATATCAAGTGTTCAGTGAGGATCCACAAGGTCTTCTCTGAGTACTCTTTATTTTCTTCTCCGAGGCTATGGGTCCCTACACTTGCACCAGAGGTGGTACCCCTTCTATATATATATATATATATATATATATATATATATATATATATATATATATATATATATATATATATATATATATATATATATATATATATATATATATATATATGCAAATGCTGCTTTAAATTATACTGCTATTTTAAAATGGTATATCCTTGAGGCTGGCCGCAACTTGGACGGAAAATGGCCTGGGGATAGGCTGCCTAGTGCACTCCACTACACAAACTATCCTCTGGCTATCCCTGTTCAAGCTGCCTCCAAACCCAAGACCCGTTCGTAAATTTTAATGTACTTTGTAATCCAAAACTATATTTTCTCGAATGGATATTAAAGTTAATATAGTTTGAAATGATCTGAATAGTGGAGCTTAGGATAGTTTAAGTCGATTAGGATAGATTTAACAGGTTATAGGATAGGAGGGTTAGCTTAGGATCGGTTAAATCAGATGTTTAAATCTGTTTACTATTATAAACATTTGCTCTATGAAAGTAAGAAGCGTTCAGGGAGGAACGACGATAGATACCTCACCTAGCTCATCTAGATAGGTTGACATGGGAGGGCAAGTGTATCGCCACCTAGACGTGAAGCTGTCATCTGATCTCACCTGAGATCAGGTGATCAGGTGAGGTACAACTAACATCCGGGGCTCGTGTGTCTTATCCTACCACCATTTAGGTTCAGAGGTTCACCCTGTTTTACCTGAGTTCTCTATGGTCCCTGGCATTCTCTCAGGTGTACCTTGTTCCCCTTAGCGTGCCACCTACTTCCCTGGGAGTCCCCCCTTGACACCCACCTATTCTCCTCTTGGATCCTAGGGGCTCTAAAGGGAAATAGGATCCATGGGGTAATAGGATCCAAGGGATAATAGGATCAAAGGGGGTAATAGGATCCAAGGGATAATAAGATCCTAGGGATAATAGGATCCTAGGGATAATAGGATCCAAGTTACTGTTTTTTTTCTTCCTACAAGAATACTAAATAAAAAGACTCCTTTTATTTTTTTATTTTTATTTTTTTTGTTTTGAGAATCTTGAAGGGTACCCTCGGGAGTGCTCCCCCCCCCCTTGGGAATGTCTTACCTTTGAGAATCTTGAAGGCTACCCTCGGGAGTGCCCCCCCCCCCCCCCCTTGGGAGTGTCTTACCTATGGATGATGTTCCGGGCGTGTAGGTAGGAGAGAGCAGACCCCACTTCCAGGATGAAGAGTCTGACGGCCTGGTCTGGGAACTGGACGCCCTGCTGGACGTGGTAGCGGAGGTCTCCCCCCAGCAGCAGGTCCACCACCATGAACATGTCCTCAGAGTCTGAGGGAAGAAAAAGAGAGTGTAGGGGTGAACGAGGCTGTTAGGGGGGGGGGGGGAAATAGGGGGTATTCTAGCACGCACACGCACGCACGCACCCACACGCACAAGGTTGCCAGGTGGAAATGGGGTCTGGTAGCCTGGTGGAGGGGCCCTGGTAGCCTGGTGGATAGCGCGCAGGACTCGTAATTCTGTGACGCGGGTTCGATTCCCGCACTAGGCAGAAAGAAATGGGCAAAGTTTCTTTCACCTTGAATGCCCCTTGTTATCTAGCAGTAAATGGGTACCTGGGAGTTAGTCAGCTGTCGCGGGCTGCTTCTTGGGGTGTGTGTGTGTGTGTGTGGTGTGGAGGAAAAGAAATAGTTAGTAAACAGTTGATTGACAGTTGAGAGGCGAGCCGAAAGAGCAAACCTCAACCCCCGCAAACACAACTAGGTGAATACACACACACACACGCACACGCACACGCACACGCACACGCACACGCACACAAGGTCTCACAATATAGACAAAGAACCAGCCATGGACCGGTTAAAGGATGACCGCCCTCAAGACCCACCACTCAAAAGATGCAGACAGAACCCGCCAGACCTTGCAGGCCGTTTTTCTCCGCCAGCACTGAAGGAAATGTTTAGCTGGGGTAATGGGTGCTCCCTGGTGTCCGTGGTGTCCGTGGTGCTCCCTGGTGCTCCCTGGTGTCCGTGGTGCTCCCTGGTGTCCGTGGTGCTCCCTGGTGTCCGTGGTGCTCCCTGGTGTCCGTGGTGCTCCCTGGTGTCCGTGGTGCTCCCTGGTGTCCGTGGTGCTCCCTGGTGCTCCCTGGTGTCCGTGGTGCTCCCTGGTGTCCGTGGTGCTCCCTGGTGTCCGTGGTGCTCCCTGGTGCTCCATGTCCGTGGTGCTCCCTGGTGTCCGTGGTGCTCCCTGGTGTCCGTGGTGCTCCCTGGTGCTCCCTGGTGTCCGTGGTGCTCCCTGGTGTCCGTGGTGCTCCCTGGTGTCCGTGGTGCTCCCTGGTGTCCGTGGTGCTCCCTGGTGTCCGTGGTGCTCCCTGGTGTCCGTGGTGCTCCCTGGTGTCCGTGGTGCTCCCTGGTGTCCGTGGTGCTCCCTGGTGTCCGTGGTGCTCCCTGGTGTCCGTGGTGCTCCCTGGTGTCCGTGGTGCTCCCTGGTGCTCCCTGCTCCCTGGTGTCCGTGGTGCTCCCTGGTGCTCCCTGGTGTCCGTGGTGCTCCCTGGTGTCCGTGGTGCTCCCTGGTGTCCGTGGTGCTCCCTGGTGTCCGTGGTGCTCCGTGGTGCTCCCTGGTGTCCGTGGTGCTCCCTGGTGTCCGTGGTGCTCCCTGGTGTCCGTGGTGCTCCCTGGTGTCCGTGGTGCTCCCTGGTGTCCGTGGTGCTCCCTGGTGTCCGTGGTGCTCCCTGGTGTCCGTGGTGCTCCCTGGTGTCCGTGGTGCCGTGGTGCTCCCTGGTGTCCGTGGTGCTCCCTGGTGTCCGTGGTGCTCCGTGGTGCTCCCTGGTGTCCGTGGTGCTCCCTGGTGCTCCCTGGTGGTCCGTGGTGCTCCCTGGTGTCCGTGGTGCTCCCTGGTGTCCGTGGTGCTCCCTGGTGCTCCCTGGTGTCCGTGGTGCTCCCTGGTGTCCGTGGTGCTCCCTGGTGTCCATGGTGCTCCCTGGTGCTCCCTGGTGTCCGTGGTGCTCCCTGGTGTCCGTGGTGCTCCCTGGTGTCCGTGGTGCTCCCTGGTGTCCGTGGTGCTCCCTGGTGCTCCCTGGTGTCCGTGGTGCTCCCTGGTGTCCGTGGTGCTCCCTGGTGTCCGTGGTGCTCCCTGGTGCTCCCTGGTGTCCGTGGTGCTCCCTGGTGTCCGTGGTGCTCCCTGGTGTCCGTGGTGCTCCCTGGTGTCCGTGGTGCTCCCTGGTGTCCGTGGTGCTCCCTGGTGTCCGTGGTGCTCCCTGGTGTCCGTGGTGCTCCCTGGTGCTCCCTGGTGTCCGTGGTGCTCCCTGGTGTCCGTGGTGCTCCCTGGTGTCCGTGGTGCTCCCTGGTGTCCGTGGTGCTCCCTGGTGCTCCCTGGTGCCGTGGTGCCCTGGTGTCCGTGGTGCTCCCTGGTGTCCGTGGTGCTCCCTGGTGCTCCCTGGTGTCCGTGGTGCTCCCTGGTGTCCGTGGTGCTCCCTGGTGTCCGTGGTGCTCCCTGGTGCTCCGTGGTGTCCGTGGTGCTCCCTGGTGTCCGTGGTGCTCCCTGGTGTCCGTGGTGCTCCCTGGTGTCCGTGGTGCTCCGTGGTGCTCCCTGGTGTCCGTGGTGCTCCCTGGTGTCCGTGGTGCTCCCTGGTGTCCGTGGTGCTCCCTGGTGTCCGTGGTGCTCCCTGGTGTCCGTGGTGCTCCCTGGTGTCCGTGGTGCTCCCTGGTGTCCGTGGTGCTCCCTGGTGTCCGTGGTGCTCCCTGGTGTCCGTGGTGCTCCCTGTGCTCCCTGGTGTCCGTGGTGCTCCCTGGTGTCCGTGGTGCTCCCTGGTGTCCGTGGTGCTCCCTGGTGTCCGTGGTGGTGGTGCTCCCTGGTGTCCGTGGTGCTCCCTGGTGTCCGTGGTGCTCCCTGGTGCTCCCTGGTGTCCGTGGTGCTCCCTGGTGTCGTGGTGCTCCCTGTGGTGCTCCCTGGTGCTCCCTGGTGTCCGTGGTGCTCCCTGGTGTCCGTGGTGCTCCCTGGTGTCCGTGGTGCTCCCTGGTGCTCCCTGTGCTCCCTGGTGTCCGTGGTGCTCCCTGGTGTCCGTGGTGCTCCCTGGTGTCCGTGGTGCTCCCTGGTGTCCGTGGTGCTCCCTGGTGCTCCCTGGTGTCCGTGGTGCTCCCTGGTGTCCGTGGTGCTCCCTGGTGTCCGTGGTGCTCCCTGGTGTCCGTGGTGCTCCCTGGTGTCCGTGGTGCTCCGTGGTGCTCCCTGGTGTCCGTGGTGCTCCTCTGGTGTCCGTGGTGCTCCCTGGTGTCCGGTGGTGCTCCCTGGTGTCCGTGTGCTCCCTGGTGTCCGTGGTGCTCCCTGGTGTCCGTGGTGCTCCCTGGTGCTCCCTGGTGTCCGTGGTGCTCCCTGGTGTCCGTGGTGCTCCCTGGTGTCCGTGGTGGTGCTCCCTGGTGTCCGTGGTGCTCCCTGGTGCTCCCTGGTGTCCGTGGTGCTCCCTGGTGTCCGTGGTGCTCCCTGGTGTCCGTGGTGCTCCCTGGTGTCCGTGGTGCTCCCTGGTGCTCCCTGGTGTCCGTGGTGCTCCTGGTGTCCGTGGTGCTCCCTGGTGTCCGTGGTGCTCCCTGGTGCTCCCTGGTGTCCGTGGTGCTCCCTGGTGTCCGTGGTGCTCCCTGGTGCCGTGGTGCCCCTGGTGTCCGTGGTGCTCCCTGGTGTCCGTGGTGCTCCCTGGTGCTCCCTGGTGTCCGTGGTGCTCCCTGGTGTCCGTGGTGCTCCCTGGTGTCCGTGGTGCTCCCTGGTGTCCGTGGTGCTCCCTGGTGTCCGTGGTGCTCCCTGGTGTGGTGCTCCCTGGTGTCCGTGGTGCTCCCTGGTGTCCCGTGGTGCTCCCTGGTGTCCGTGGTGCTCCCTGGTGCTCCCTGGTGTCCGTGGTGCTCCCTGGTGTCCGTGGTGCTCCCTGGTGTCCGTGGTGCTCCCTGGTGTCCGTGGTGCTCCGTGGTGTCCGTGGTGTCCGTGGTGCTCCCTGGTGTCCGTGGTGCTCCCTGGTGTCCGTGGTGCTCCCTGGTGTCCGTGGTGCTCCCTGGTGCTCCCTGGTGTCCGTGGTGCTCCCTGGTGTCCGTGGTGCTCCCTGGTGTCCGTGGTGCTCCCTGGCGTCCGTGGTGCTCCCTGGTGTCCGTGGTGCTCCCTGGTGTCCGTGGTGCTCCCTGGTGTCCGTGGTGCTCCCTGGTGCTCCCTGGTGTCCGTGGTGCTCCCTGGCGTCCGTGGTGCTCCCTGGTGCTCCCTGGTGTCCCTGGTGCTCCCTGGTGTCCGTGGTGCCCTGGTGTCTGGTGCTCCCTGGTGTCCGTGGTGCTCCCTGGTGTCCGTGGTGCTCCCTGGTGCTCCCTGGTGTCCGTGGTGCTCCCTGGTGTCCGTGGTGCTCCCTGGTGTCCGTGGTGCTCCCTGGTGTCCGTGGTGCTCCCTGGTGTCCGTGGTGCTCCCTGGTGTCCGTGGTGCTCCCTGGTGTCCGTGGTGCTCCCTGGTGCCCGTGGTGCTCCCTGGTGTCCGTGGTGCTCCCTGGTGTCCGTGGTGCTCCCTGGTGTCCGTGGTGCTCCCTGGTGCTCCCTGGTGTCCCTGGTGCTCCCTGGTGTCCGTGGTGCTCCCTGGTGCTCCCTGGTGTCCGTGGTGCTCCCTGGTGTCCGTGGTGCTCCCTGGTGTCCGTGGTGCTCCCTGGTGCTCCCTGGTGTCCGTGGTGCTCCCTGGTGTCCGTGGTGCTCCCTGGTGTCCGTGGTGCTCCCTGGTGTCCGTGGTGCTCCCTGGTGGTGCTGCTCCCTGGTGTCCGTGGTGCTCCCTGGTGTCCGTGGTGCTCCCTGGTGTCCGTGGTGCTCCCTGGTGTCCGTGGTGCTCCCTGGTGTCCGTGGTGCTCCCTGGTGTCCGTGGTGCTCCCTGGTGTCCCTGGTGCTCCCTGGTGTCCGTGGTGCTCCCTGGTGTCCGTGGTGCTCCCTGGTGCTCCCTGGTGTCCGTGGTGCTCCCTGGTGTCCGTGGTGCTCCCTGGTGCTCCCTGGTGTCCGTGGTGCTCCCTGGTGTCCGTGGTGCTCCCTGGTGTCCGTGGTGCTCCCTGGTGCTCCCTGGTGTCCGTGGTACTCCCTGGCGTCCATGATGCTCCCTGGTGTCCGTGGTGCTCCCTGGTGTCCGTGGTGCTCCCTGGTGTCCGTGGTGCTCCCTGGTGCTCCCTGGTGTCCGTGGTGCTCCCTGGCGTCCGTGGTGCTCCCTGGCGTCCGTGGTGCTCCCTGGTGCTCCCTGGTGTCAGTGGTGCTCCCTGGCGTCCGTGGTGCTCCCTGGCGTCCGTGGTGCTCCCTGGTGTGCGTGGTGCTCCCTGGTGCTCCCTGGCGTCCGTGGTGCTC